AAGAAAGTAGAACTCAAGTTTGTATTTCACATCGACTAATATCTTCTGAGGAGTTTTATTAAACATAAAGTACTTTATTCAAAAAAATTATTGGTTTCAAAGAGAAACGAACCCATGAGCCAAATTTACCGCTTATGATTATCCGTTGTCAAGATTTTTCTTTGAATAATTATAAAAATGTAAACAAAAATATGTAGACTAGCATCAAGTTTGCATTATCTACCTACGATTACTTTTTAGTCAAGCTTCTTTTAAAAAATATAGTTTATTCCATAGCTGGAGTAGAGCTACTTTCTGATAGGTTTCAGTAGATAGTAGACAGCAATATTTTAGTGAACGACGCTTTCTCTCAGAAAAGAAAATACTTGATATAATTGTGGACTCATAAAAAAGATCCGACCATCTACCAATAGCCCACTAAAGCTTGTGGGGTTTATTCGACCAACATAAAAGTAGTTGAATCAGCGTGGTTTCCATGTCCATTGTCTTGCCATTCCACAAACAACCTCAAGCAACTATGTTTTTAGGCACGTACTCTTATCATAACGAGAAAATACACCGTTCAATTTTCTTATGTTAGAATATTAAGATCTCGTGTTTGACATTTATGCACGATTTGTGTCAACTTTCTCACTAGTCGAAATGAGTGTGGGAGACCTCTGTGGTTCAAACATTTTTTTATGTTCTTTCAATGAGTTGCACAAGCTCTATCTACTGAGAGTATTGCTTTCGCATTTAGGTTTTTGAACACAAGTCTATAGTTGTATGAATCACTTCAATATACGCTAAGAAAAGAGCAATATCGTCTGAAAGTTGAAGACTGCTCAATTCCTATTAATTAGGCTTTGAGAATCCCTACACTTGATTAATGTATAGTCTAGCTCAATCTTTTATCCACCTTCATGCATTGAAATAATCTTATATTTTGGCTGAGCAAGCTCTGCTTTTCAAACGTCAATGTCTACAACACGAATATGAAGTACGTTACAAGGTGACTATTTGCCTCAATCAAGAACTAAAATCGTGTATAGACTGGTTGGAAAAGAAAGTGCCTACGGTTGATTTCTACTCGACCAATCTTGTTCTTCGATAAAAGACTATGACAGAACATAATCGTGCTTCGATGATAGATGAGATTAAATTAGAGAGACTTGCTCATGGACCTGCTAGTGAGAACTAGACGTCCAATATTTACAAACTTGCTCATAATGTATCCTCATACATCTTATCTTCTGTTGAGGAAAGACTTCTTGCACATGTCTAGGATTTTTTCATGAAACAAAGAATAATCAATTTCGTAGATTTTCAAACTGACGTTGAACGAAATGCGTTCCAACTAGGGATGCACCAGTGCCAGTAACTGGGTCCCAGTCGGACTGGGTACCCAGTCGGACTGGATACCCAGTCGGGCTGGACACCCAGTCGGACCGGGTACCCAGTCGGACTGGGTATCCAGTCGGACTGGATACCCAGTCCGACTGGATACCCAGTCGAACTGGACACCCAGTCCGACTGGGTACTTAGTCATTTGATGTTTATTCCGCAAATCGAACAGTACCTTCCTCTTTTCTAATATACTGGAATGCATTGACTCTCAGGCTGATAAAATAATGATATAAGCAATAATATTGAATTGGCTGACTATTCTTATATTTCTATGTGCCAATCGTTATAACGTAAAATATTATTAATATATTTCAACAGTATTAGTAATTTACGATAGACAACGAAAGTAGAAGTTCTTCTGTTTTGCAAAATTAAATATAAGGCTGGAAATATTATTAGAAAAACACAATGATTTTGTAAGTCTCTGTAATACTAAACTCGTACTTTTATCATAAATCCATAGTGTTATAACTACCGTGCACCTCAATTGGTTTTCCTCCTTTCATTTTCTTTTGTTTTCATCACTAGACTTCTTTTATTTTTTAACTTCCTATAGATAGGAAGAACGCCCAAAACGCGCGGCATCTTTCGGTATACTTATGTTGAACAACAAATGTAGCTTGAAGGTTAAAAAAGTGTATTAGAAAAAATGCGACATTTTTTTTACTACAATACCAAGTGCCCATAATATTGTAACATTTTTCATTTCGCATATATCTCGGCTTAGATAAATGATAAAATCTTGAACTTTTTTCCAAAAGATGCGCCGTGAAAAGCTCTATCAAGGCGGCATGATTGGATTCCTTTGTACCTGTTGTAATGGTTTTTCTTATATTCAAAATGAACAAGCTACATTACAGTGTCACTTCCCATCATATTAAACATGTTTGGAACATTTTTCTGATTCGCCATAGAAACTAATCCCTACAGCTTTTGTAGAGCTATCGACGGCACATCTTTTTTGAAAAAATTCAATATTCTATCATTTTCTCAAGTCGAGATATAAGCAAAACAACAAAATGTTCCGAACATTTACAATATGGTGAGAGTGACACTATAATGTAGCTTGTTCATTTTGAATGTAAGAAAAATCAATAGAGCAGGTAAGAAGGAACTCAATCATGCAGTCTTGATAGAGCTTTTCACCGCGCATCTTTTGGAAAAAAATTCAAGATTTTATTATTTCTCTAAGCCGAGGTATATGCAAAATGAAAAATGTTACAACATTCTGAACACCATGTAGTAAAAAAAATGTCACTTTTTTTCCTAATACATTTATTATGCTTCAAACTGCGTTTGATATATAACGTAAATATATCGAAAGATGCAGCGCGTTCTGGGCTTTCTTTCTATCTATAGGAAGTTAACAAATAAAAGAAGTCTAGCGATGAAAACTAAAGAAAACAAAAGGGGGAAAACAAATTGAGGTACACTGTAATATCATCCTAATTGAAACAAAATTTATTGTAATGACTAAGAATAAAATGTATAACAGAAAAAAAAACACGTCATATATAAATGATATATGTAAAAAAAGATACGAAAAAAAACTGGATTACAGTTTGACTAGATACATCAGAAAAAATGTACAGTACTTGAAAATAGTAAAAAGTTAAATATTTGAGCATGTAGAAAACATGTACAGATGCATTTGTATATTTATTCATCAAGTTTGTCCTAAAATCATAAACAAAATAATTATAAAACGATTCTCTCACAAAAAGATGCTAGATGTCTCAGCATATTTAAGTTGCGACATCTGTTACCGATCTAAGAATTTATTTTATATTTTTGAGATGCTAGACTGATTAAATGTACTCAACTAATATAATCGCATATTGACGAGCATTAGCAAAAACATCATGTTACTTAGATTATACAAGTTACTTTTATCCATTATGTGGCATTTAAAGTGAGAATTTATTGTTATTGTTTTTTATAACAGGAACAAAATAGTTATTGTTGTTTAAAACAACAACAAAATAATTTTTGCCATTTGTTAAAAATAATCGTTCTTCTTATTTATACTAACAACAAAATAGTTTATGTTACCTATCACAACAACAAACTAGTTATTGTTATTTATAAAAAAAAAATATTCTTATTTATAACAACGACACACAATTTCTTATTTATAAGAAAAAAAAATTGTTCTTCTGATTTATAACAATAACCAGCTACTTATTGTTTTTTTATAAGAAAAGCAGAATAGTTACTGTTATTTATAAGAGAAAGAATTGTTATTGTTATTTACAACAGTAACAAACTGTTCATTCTTATCTATAAGAAAAAAAAATTCTTGTGATTTATAATAACGACAAACTAGTTATTGTTATTTATAAGAAAAACGAAATAGTTCTTCATATGAAAAGGAAAAACAAAACTGTTCTTGTTATATATAACAATAAGAAATAATTATTGTTATTTACAAAAGAAAATTGTTCTTCTTATTTACAACAGTAACAAACTATTAATCCTTATTTGTAAGGAAAAAGTTATTCTTGTTATTTATAACAAAAAATTCTTATTTATAGGAAAAAAAAATGTTCTTGTTATTTATGAAGGTAACAAACTAATAATTCTTATTTCTAAAAAGAATAGTTCGTGTTATTTACAATAATGGAACACTAGTTATTGTCATTTATAAGAAAAAAAAAGTTCTTGAGATTTATGACAACATCAAACTAGCAATTCTTATTTATAAGAAAAATATTGTTCGTTTTATTTATAGCAACAATATACTAGTTCTTCTTGTTTATATGAAAATCAATTGTTCTTATGATTTATGACAACATCAAACTAGTTATTGTTATTTGTAAGAAAAAAATCGTTCTTATTATCTATAACAACAACAAACAAGTTCTTATTTATAGGAAACAAAAATTGTTCTTGTTATTTATAAAGGTAACAAACTAGTAATTCTTATTTCTAAAAAGAATTTTTCTTGTTAATTGTAACAACAACAAACTAGTTATCATAATTTATAAGAAAAACAAAATAGTTCTTATTTATAAGAAAGATAATTTTTCTTGTTATTTGTAGCAAGGAATAATTATTATTATTTATAAGAAAAAGAAAATTGCCCTTGTTATTTATAACAGTAACGAACTAGTTATTCTGATTTATAAGGGTGACAATAATTCTCACTACTACCAGGTCCTCTTGTATGAATATAATGTCTGTGGGGATTACTATGAGATGGACTATTGTTTGAGTGTGATCATGATTATAAGAGTTTTTTGTGACGTTTCCAGTGTAGAGTTACCAATTGGTCTTTACATAGGTCTGTTGAATATTTATTTTGTTTTATTTGTATCATGAAGAATATGATTTTTTTTTGGTAAGTTCTTCAACTCAGCAAGTGGTAGTAGTAAAGTTTATTGAAGGATGTATAGAAAGATTTAAAATCGTTGTTTTTTAATTATTCAATATTCTTTGATAGACAAACTGTATTATTTGTACTATTTTATGATGAAGAGTCGATCCTATGGGTAGAACATTTATATGAGAGAAAGTTCTTCTCTGTATTGAAAGAATGAGAAATAGTATCAGATCAAGTTATTTTCTCGAAATCAGTTTATTTCTGAATCGAGAACACTTAACTATGCGATATGTTATATAGTTATAATACTTACTTTTAAGAAAACAGTTGCCTCTAGGTTTTTTGCCGATAATCGTGATCGTTCTTTCCTGTACACAAAAGATGCTGTTGAAAATGCTGATTCAGCTGGAACACTAGTTGCTGGTGTGCATCCAAATTTTTGTGCTAATTTGAAAAGATAAGGCAGTGTAAATTCATAATTTTTCCAAAACGTAAGAAAAGAAGATATATCTGGTCGATTTTGACTGTTATATTTAGTTATTAATGATCGATAATTACGTAGTTCTTCAATTATTGTTGCACGTGAAGTAGTAGTGTTTTTTGGGACAACTTGATCACCGACACTGTTCAAAAATATTTCCATGGCTGTTGGTTTTTTATTCATATAAGTTTTTGATGATGATGATGATGATGAATTTGTAGGAGCTGTTGCCCAGGTCAAAGATGTACGGCAGGAAACGATAGGATCCTGCGTAATT